TAGGTGTGCACTGCCACACTCGGATTCATTCATGGGCTCAGTGCACCCTGGGTTTGGGCCGCTGTGGCATGCTGGACTGGGGATCGAATCCTGGTTCCTATGCTTGCCCAAGCAGGTGCTTAGTCCACTGAGCTAACTCAGAGCCTCTTCTCATCCACTTCTTCTGGAATATCATTAACTTACATGAATATGGTACACATTTTGCATTTGGTTGAAAATAGTAACATATTATTATTGAAGTTCTTATTTTAGTTACAATTGCTTAGGTTTTTATGATCTTTTGTGGTTCATTTATTTTATTCAAACATATTTCAGTACATCTTGATCATATTTATCATGGTGAGTTGGACACATAATTAATACATCTCAGATCTCTTGTTGTTCCCTTCCCTATTGCCTGTCTCTGCACTGTCACACACTAGTTCCACTTTGCACTTACAAAAACATTTCCATTTTTCTTCTTCAATTTTCTCTCTTTAAAATCTCTTCTATCTTCATTATCTCTTCTTCCCATAATTTTTTAGCTTTAGTTTTTACCTAACCTCTTTTTCCATTTCAGAAGCCTATTCATGATAGCACATTAAATTTACTTGTGTTTTTTGAGCTTCTTTTAGCTGTGACAGTAATTCATATATTCCATGTCTTTGATGCTCTTGACAATTTTGAAAAATAGTTGTGAAGGATTTTATAGAATGCTTCTCTCTTAAAAAATTGATGATTTTTTATGATTATCTTGGGATTATGAGAAAATGGGAAAAAGAACGTAGAAGAAATTGCCATCTTTCATCACACCATACAATAGGTCTAATCTATCAATACTGATTCGCTGACTTTTGACATTGACTCATTGAAGTGGTGACTGTCAAATTTCTCCATTGGAATATTATTCTTTTTTCCCCTAATTTTATTGAGAAACAAATAGCAATGAGACAGTTTCGAATCAAATTGGTAGGACAGTTTCAATAATTAACACATTGCATACATTCTTCCTAGTGATTAATT